TAAAAAGCTAATGGGAAGTAACTCAAGCTAAAATAATGCAAAGAATTTTATTTTTGAACAATGAATGTTTACATGGTAATTCTAAATAACAATTAGAGAAAACTAGATACATACATCATAGTGAGGTCAGCAATATGCCCTACCGCCTTTACTTTCCCTAACGTAAGTTAGGTACCCATCAGAGTTGGGTGGATTCAGGGAACACCGACTCGAACTTGAGACCTACAGGTTAGCAATCTGGCTCTCTACCGCTAGATTCTCTTTTGTTTAAAAAAAAACAACGTTAAACTTGGGTGTGGTGGGGTTAGGGATGTATGCGTTATATATGATGACTACTTCTATTACTAACATTCCAACTTTCAGCATGTGATACGGACGAGAACACTCTTATTTCCTACGACCCTAATAATTCCAACAAGTCCGAATATCGAAATTCAACTGGAAGTTTAATTATCAATCACTAATACTAGGTGTAGGCCTACACTACAAAATATACAACACGTCCTTTCTCTACAATGGCTAAACCACCAACTGTCTTCACTTCTTGGTGGTTGATTAGAGGAATGGTGTGTACTGTGGGTTATATTTCATTGAATTGTCCAAGATCTTTGGAGACAGTCTTTTTACTTACTTAAGTCATTGAGTCTGTCCCTCTTTGTCTCAATACATCAACGGCCTGACCCTCCAGTCCATGTAAACATATGCACGGCCTGAGCCACCAGTCCATGTAAACATATGCACGGCCTGACCCTCCAGTCCATGTAAACATATGGCCTGGGCCTCCAGTCCATGTAAACATATGGCCTGGGCCTCCAGTCCATGTAAACATATGGCCTGGGCCTCCAGTCCATGTAAACATATGGCCTGAGCCTCCAGTCCATGTAAACATATGGCCTGACCCTCCAGTCCATGTAAACATATGGCCTGACCCTCCAGTCCATGTAAACATATGGCCTGACCCTCCAGTCCATGTAAACATATACACGGTCTGAGCCTCCAGTCCATGTAAACATATTTCTACCGCCCCCTCCGAACGAAATTAAATTTATATAGAATATATATACTTTTAACAGTGTCTCCCCCCCCCACACCCCGAAGAAAGTTTATCGCCCCCCCCCCCCCCGAATATTTCAAGTGCCCCCCCCCCCCCCCCGGAGAAAACAGTCTGGAAGAAACGCTGTTTTTATCAACCAATAGTATACTGTTTTGGATGAGAGACTTTTTGTCAACCAACCATCGCAGAGAATCCCCTCTATATCAGCATCAGGTGGAATTAATCTTTGTTTCTGATGGTAGTTGCCTAATTAAATTGTACATTTGTATTATAACTATTTATACCTGTTGTTAGTGTATGAAAAAATGAGGAATTGTTTTTATTACATCGCGAGGGTGGGTAAAGACTATTGTGGATGTATTTAGAACACTGTGTGGATGTGTTAAGATCACTGTGTGGATGTGTTAAGAACACTGTGGGTGTGACTAAAAATGTATGGTTGTGTAGAACAATTGCTGGTGTGAATGAAGTACAGTATGTAGACAGTTGTGTGGGTATGTGGATAACAGTGTGGGATGTAGAAAGAAGTATGTATTAGCACTTGAAGAACAATGTGTAGGTGTGAAGAACTCCCTGAGGTGAACATAGAGCTTTTCAGTTGATCAACTATGGGCTATACCGAATCGATCACGCCCACCTACACATATAACTCTATATATTATAGAGATTGTATCATGTTTTAATTAACCATGGGCTGTACCGAATCGATCACGCCCACCTGCACATATAACTCTATATATTATAGAGATTGTATCATGTTTTAATCAATCATGGGCTATACCGACTCGATCACGCCCACCCGCACATTTAACTCTATATATTATAGAGATTGTATCGTGTTTTAATTAACCATGGGCTGTACCGAATCGATTACGCCCACCCGCACATATAACTATATATATATTATAGAGATTGTATCATGTTTTAATCAACCATGGGCTATACCGAATCGATCACGCCCACCTGCACATATAACTCTATATATTATAGAGATTGTATCATGTTTTAATCAACCACGGGCTGTACCGAATCGATCACGCCCACCTGCACATATAACTCTACATATTATAGAGATTGTATCGTGTTTTAATTAACCATGGGCTGTACCGAATCGATCACGCCCACCCGCACATTTAACTCTATATATTATAGAGATTGTATCGTGTTTTAATTAACCTTGGGCTGTACCGAATCGATTACGCCCACCTGCACATATAACTATATATATATATTATAGATATTGTATCATGTTTTAATCAACCATGGGCTCTACCGAATCAATCACGCCCACCCGGACTGGTTACTAAATATAAAGATCTTTTTTTTTTTATCAACGTTGTATTCATGTTTAAAAGTTACTGGTAACAAAACGTCTTTTTCTGCCATCGCCATGCCCCTTTACAATTGTTATGGCTCAATGCAGATTTCAGTTATCTCAACCAACCATCGAAAACATTGAGTGTGTCGGCAACAGGTGTAACCGGCAGGAAGCCTTTACACCAGACTTCTCGCTCTACTGCTGACAAGAATAATGGTCCCGATAATTAGGCTCGCGAGAACACCACACACGACTGTACAGCTTCAGACTGTTTTACCGTTTGTGCGTGCGTGTGTGAGTGTATTGTGTATGTGTGTGTGTGTGTCTGTGTGTGTGTGTGTATGTCTGTATGTGTGTGTGTGTTTGTGTGTGTGTCTGTGTGTGTGTGTCTGTGTCTGTGTGTGTGAGAGAGAGAAAATGTATGTGCTGACACCAGCTAAACATTAATTGTTTACCCGACTGTACAGCCTGGCTTTAGTTATCTCCCCTTATAGTGATATTCTAGCATAAGTTTTTGTATTGCTTTGCCTGGCATGATTTGTGATATCGATGGGTTATTTTTTTTTTTATATTTATATTAAAAGTTGTGTCTGATATTTTGTCTCTTTAGGCAGAATACGAAGCTGAGGCAAATAATAATGTTTTAAAAAATAAATTAAAAAGTTTATGAGCTGCCATCTGCTTTATTCCTTTTTGAAAGTAATTTATCAGGCAAAACACTTTTTTTTACTGCCATTTTTAGCTTTTGAAAAACAGATTCCTAACACTTATTCGCTATATTCGATATATTTTTGGTTTGGGTGACAGGACACATAATTTCAGACTAAATATCCCAGCCTAAATATCTCACGGACAAATGATCTCTTGAAAAATGATTTCAGGACAAATGATTCCATTGTATATAAAACCTAACACAGTGTACATTAGACCATATATAATTATTACATGTGATATTAAGCATTATGTGTTTCTCTACGGCATGAATAAGATATTGCCAAGAACATTCCTTCCCATGGGACAAGCGTTCTGCTGTAATCTCCACTCCAGGCTTTAAATCCATATCCTAATTGTGTTTAATGTCCTTGTGACAGTATAATTCTAGTATATTCGATGATTTGCTAGAACAAAACAACACGTCCGTAATGTCCTTGTCACAGTATAATTCTAGTTTATTCGATGATTTGCTAGAACAAAACAACACGACCGTATCGTTTTCTTTAGCCTCCACTGTGTCTATGGGGAGTCCGTGAGAGTTGAGAAATTTCAGATCGTTTGTCGTTTTTGAGCTGAAATAAAAATTTTAACGGCTAAAACTATTTCAGACTTTTATTTTGTGATCTTATCAGGGCTCTATGTCTACATCCATTGATGTCTTAAAAATAGCTTTGCTAAAATTGTAAATGATTTTAAAATACAATATAAATCTGTCAGCAGCATAAAATGGAACTTTCAAAATTGCCTTTAAATAAATAGTTCTATTAACTAACGTTAATTTATTTTATTCTCTGCCTTAAGTCATATACGTTAAAATATAACTCCATCGTGTTTAGCCATCTATTAAAACTAAATTTACTTGCATTGCTTTTACCTTCAAATTTACTTTTACCTTCAAATTTACTGTAAATTTACTGTAAATTTACTGTAAATCCTGGTACAACAAAGACCAACTATTATTTCTCAAATGTTAACTAAATTACCCTGATAACATTTCTTCTTTATCTGTGTCTCTCTAGCTTTACAAAATCTATATTTAATAATGGATATATTTCCCTAAAGCTAGTTGATTATTACTTTGGAAAGAACAGTGAGGGTAGGGGTTGTGAACTGGATGTTGTAAAAAGCAACAATGTCTTTGAGCTCCTTCTGTTTTAGGCGATTGTTCACAAGCCCAGTATTAAATTATCTGCCCCTAGTCCCTAGACCCAGCTATTTAATTATCTGCCCCTAGACCCTAGACCCAGCTATTAAATTATCTGCCACTAGTCCCTAGACTCAGCTATTAAATTATCTGCCCCTAGTCCCTAGACCCAGCTATTAAATTATCTGTCCCTAGACCCAGCTATTAAACTATCTGCCCCTAGACCCTAGACCCAGCTATTAAACTATCTGCCCCTAGACCCTAGACCCAGCTATTAAATTATCTGTCCCTAGACCCTAGACCCAGCTTGAAAATTATCTGCCCCTAGACCCTAGACCCAGCTATTAAATTATCTGCCCCTAGACCCTAGACCCAGCTATTAAATTATCTGCCCCTAGTCCCTAGACCCAGCTCCCCTTATTCACCGACAATGCTAAAAAGAATTTTGTAAGAACGAAATATAACAAAAGCATACATTAAATATTAAATATGAAAATTTAGACATCAGACAAAATGGTTCGTTGATAAAAATGAAAGATGCTCTCAAGCAAAATGATTTTGATGCTGGTACAATGTTCCGCTATGTTAGTGTGAATAATTTCGTCATTTAATTCTAAAGAGTCTCAAATATGTGTAATATTTGGCGCAAATAAAATGCTAGAAATCTAACGTACGTTAACCTGTCTCTACGTTGAGAACCTTTAAATCGTTAAAAATTAATATTATAATTGTGCTTACAACAGCTGGAGTAAATGTATATAAACCAAGTAAATTTAGACAACACTACATCTCAAGTTGTGTGCTTACCATCACATTGCCGCTGACATCAAATCCTTTAGGGTAAGTTGTATATTGTGTAATGTGCAATAAATTCCGCTAATCACCTTGCGTAGCTTATATAATATATAGCATAACTAATATGTATATATAGGTTAAGTTTAAACTTATAAAACAATGTTTTACTTTCTATGTAGCCGATCATTATGAAGCTTCTGATCCTACTCATTTTTAGCGTTTGGCTATTCTGTGCCATCACCTACGCCGCAGTGGAAGAGGAGGTAATATATTCATGTTTTAATGTATAAATATCGTTATTGCTATATATTTATGTATCAATTGTGGTAGATTTTATTTCGCCGAAATAATGTTCAGAAAAATTAAACCTGTTATTACAACATGACTTTCGCCACACCGTTGTTTTTTCAACTATTTACATTTCACCCGCCCCACACTGTTGTTTTTTCAACTATTTACATTTCACCAGCCCCACACCGATTGAATTATGTTTTATACACTACACAGGAAAAGTGAGAACCGCGCATTCTACAAATTAATGAGTAACGAATGGGTTGATAAAGTGTAGCTTAAGCTCATGATTGCTAAACTAAAGAATTTCAAGGTTGAATTCCCGGGTAAATCAAACTCGATAGCTGGGGACAACAACATTGCTAAGAGTTTAAACACCAAAATCAAACAACTTCCGCCATGTAGCTTGTTCTAGATGGAAGCAAATACTGAAAGGAACTGTCTAAATGTGGGGTCAACGTCCTGCGTCATAATATAACATTTTAGTTGGGTTGGGGGAAAATATCTTCAAACATCCAAATTAAAGGCAAAGAAGAAGGCGATTAGTGTTTCGTTTGATAACGTCTTATTTCATTAATTAGTTAATTATTTCTTTCAAATATGTGTGAAATTATTCATACATCCATCAAATTCATTAAACCGTTGGTCTGTTTTTAGGCATCCGTTCGCTAATTCATTCACTTTTGTGTCGGTTCGTTCTTTCTTTCATTCGTTCATTCGGTTATTGATACATTTTTACTTTGTTAAATCAAATACCCGTTAAATCATTGATTCACTCATTTATAACATGATTTATCTAGTAATTTATCTGAAGTTCAGTAGATATTAACACATTAAAAAAAGGTTCAATACATTTTCTTCTTCATTTTTGTACTACGTTATTCGATTCTTTTTTAATCAAGGACCACACATGCATATATATATATATATATATATATATACATATATATATATATATATATATATATATATATATATATATATATATATATATGTATATATATATATATATATATATAGAGAGAGAGAGAGAGAGAGAGAGAGAGAGAGAGAGAGAGAGAAAGAGAGAGAGATAATTATCTAGAAATAAAATGAGTTATAAACATTAAACAAACTGGAGTCTACTACCAGAACAATTTTCTTGCAGATTAATGATCCAGTTCGTCGCAACTTACCATCGAAAGAAATAATGGATCAAGCAATAAAAAGAATTCTAGAATTGATGAAGGGTTCACAGGGATAGGGTAGTTCTCTTCTCAATAAACTGAATAATTTTCAAAGATTTACTAAATTTGTTTGCTTAATATGCGTGTTATGTTGTCTTAATTTTTTTGTTGTTCAATGAATCCAGAATTAAAATAAGCTTGAAATGTAACAGGCAAAAATGTAACAGCATAACTTTGACATCTTGAAGTCAGTGAAATGATATCAGCTCGACATGATCCCATCTCAGTTAAATGAAGGAATACACGATGTATGAATACTTCTATTGTATAATATTACTTCGTGTTGATATTTTGGTTACATAAATATATTTACTTTAGTATTCACTTTATAAAAAAAAAATTAGTAAATTCTGAAGTGTGATACAACAGCAATAATTAATTGGTATTGAACAAACATAATGTATAATTCTAAAAACAATGATGTAACATTCAATAAGCGTAGTTCGTAGAAAACTATGATGCTGACCAGAATATAATGACGAAAAAATTTGATCGCTAGTTATATCTTGATAGCTGAGCTTAATTAAACAAACACATCTTGAGACCACTTAAACAGTCACCATTATATTATGTAGTTGATAAATTAAAGCATTTAATCTTCCCTCATCACACATTAGCTTGCATTAATGAAAGAAGAAAAAAAAACTGCATAATTAAATAACCAACGAGATATAGGATAGGAAAAAAATGCTACCTTGTATTATAACCAAACAATTAAGGTTTCAATGTGTAATAAAAAAATAATAAAAATAAATAAACCGGGAGTGATCTCTCCTATACTTTCTCTAATATCTTTATATAATACTAAGAGGGAAGGCACTTGGGAATATAGAAATGATTTTAAATCCATTTTTAATTATTAAACTTTTTAAAATAGAACAGAATCTCGAAGAAAAAAGATTTGCGCACCAAGTGAACTCCAAAACATTATGTACAATAGTGTTGAATATTATTAGTATTCAATAAATTCACATTTCTTTGAGAAATCAGAAATAACGTAAATTACTACTTTCGTTCAACGGAAATTACTCACATTTGAAAAATAGGCATAACATTTTTATCTTTTACTTATGTGTACAATTTAATTTATCTATCTGAAACAGTATTTAAGTTATAGGTTTCTGAAAAAAATTGAAAGTAGAATAAGTACTACTTCCGGTTTTTTAAAATCGCTGAAAAGTTGACACAGAACTACAAATTTGATATAATACTCATACATGACGTTTCGTCAACCTAGCTGTAACGGTACTAAAGTTATAGTGTTCACAGACACATATACACACACATATATACACACACAGACACACGGGCAAGAGTGCAAAATTATGTTTTTCCTACTTAGGGAGGTGTAAAACGTCGAGATTTGCAAAACTGTCGTTTTTTTTAACGTGTGCAATACTTTCTCTATACTTCGTATACGATAAAGTACAAATTAAGAAAGAGAAAATAATACGAAACGGTTCTAATTACAAGTATAGTGGTAGAAAAAAAAAGTAGCATTGAAGTAGCAAGAAGTATTTAAGTGCAGCTAGATATGTTTAGCACTAATGAGTAAATTCTTTAAACTGCTATTTTAATTCTTCAGATTTAGTTGTCGATATTTGACATCCGCACGTTCAAACTCTTTTACACTAGGCCTACATACTCTTAGCACACGTTTATATTTTCCAAAATATAGACATAAAACCAGGATATATCAGAAACGTTCTTCTGTCTATGTCAAATGTGTTGTCTCTACCAACGCGCGGTCACTATGATGTTTCCGTTACGCTGTCGTCATACAAAACGCTTATTTGAATATTTGTACCGTCCAAACCCACCCCAACCGTGTTTGTCCCCACCGTCTTACATCGTCACAAAAAGCCAAACCTCCCCCCCCCCCACATCTAAAAAGACGTCACACCTCGTTCAATAAAGCAGGTCATGTGAGATGGTTGAGTTTGCTGTATCTGTAAAGGTTTCTGCCCATTATTTCACTATGCCTTTAATGAAACAAAGTTATCGAGTATTTCCTTTCATTTAATCGATCAATGATAATTACTTACCTACGTTTAAAATTGTGAAACGAAAAATAGAACAGAAAGGCAAACATAATACTTGAACGCTGTACACTCATTATATACGATCATTCACAAATTATATGTATATACATAATATATTTAATTTTGGCATTCAGTGCTTTGTTTTTTACATAAGCAAATGCATTATGTATGTATCTAGAGTACCTTTGGGGGCATCCATTTATGACGTCCACAAAAAATTGGGATTTTAGAACCATTACCCCCCTCCATCCAAACGTGTCCATGTTCCCTTCCCCCCCCCCCCATCCCCCCCCCCCCCCCCAAAGGTGGACGTCCACACAAATATAGTAAAAGAGAATATGCCAGATGACTAAGTCGAACGATATAAAACATTTTAAAACAATATATGTTTAACTACAATAAAAAGTGCGTTGATACAAATACTTCACTCTTTGATTGTCAAACATTTTAGAAGGCCATGAACGAGTTGTATGCACTAACAACACCAAGAACCGCTTGAATAAAAGCACCGATAATTTTATAATTTAAAAAAAAAAAAACAAAGGCAAGATAGTCTTTTTGTCTTGTTTGTGTGTTTCACCGCCAGAGGCGTAGCATGGGGGGGGGGGGGACAGGGGGGTACATATGTCCCCGGGCGCCGACCTTAGGGGGCGCTAAAATGGGTTGTAAAAACAAATTAAAATGTAATTTTTGCTGCATTTTCACATTATAAATAGTTTGAGGAGGGGGGGGGGGTGCAAATCAAAAGTTTGAGGGGGGGGGGGGGGTGGAAATCGAAAATTTGCTCTCGAGGGGGGGCGCCAAATTCAAAGTTCGTCCCCGGGCGCCGGGAAGAGTCGCTACGCCTCTGTTCACCGCTAGTGTTAGTTTTACTGATACATTTTATTTAATATTTATTTATAACTAATTTTAATGTAGAAGTATAATGTTTTGTATAACGACATATATTGTTTAATAATATGTTTGTTTAATTTCTGTTTAAGTTAGTTTCAACTTTAAAAACTCTAAGGGAGACAATCTAAATATTAGACTACAAATATGGTAATTTTTGTTTGGTCACAAAGCAGTAAATGACATTCACTATATATTATGATATTAAGAATAAATATTAAATTATATATAAGTAAAATTTTGTCGATAGTGTATGTATTTTGTAGATTGAATTTATCATATGATATGAATTGAATACGTAAACTGAAAGAGTAATTAAAATTTACAATACAAGACACCAAAACATTTCATTTTCTGTCATTTGACTTCTCCTCTTGACTACTTAAACGTAGTAAACTTATTTTATAAAGAAGTAACTGGTCTAAAAATGTAATCTCAAGACCAGAAGTCGAAGACCTGGTTATCTAGAATGCTAGGCTAGATCTAGATCCAGAGTGTCTAGTTAGTCTAGTAGTTAAAAATATGGAAAAGTTTGAGAATTTTGTTAGAATGCTCAGGTCCAGCAGGTAGAGGAACAGAGACTTTTGCTAAAATGGAAATTTAAAAGAAAACAACGTGTCCACAAACACATCGACGAGATGGCAAAGTGTTTGTTGGGTTCCCATACAAGACATTGTATTTACAAATGATCTTATCCCTAAAGTTCATTGAAAGAGATTTCATAGCCATTATATTTATCCAAAATAAAAATTAAAAAGTTTTCCTATACAAACTAATGAGCTAGTTTTCAAATCCAGACATTTTTTTTTTACTTTTTTTTTTGGCTTTAAACTAGCTACAAGCCCTTCATAATTCAAACATTTTGTTTGCAGTTGACAGTTTTTATTTGTACAAAGCACCGTTAGATAAAAATGGGGTAATCTTCTAGAGAGAAAAGGTGATTAGCATTCAGATAAACAGATCTGTTCAGAACATAATTTATCAGATATAGAAAATAGTCGATTAAAGGAACTACCAGATAAAGAAGTGTGTTTAGAAAATGACATAAGGCAACAATTCGGTGTATGAACAAACAGTGAGTTGGACTTTCAAAGAAGGGCTGAAGAAATGATTCAGTCAAATCCAACATTTTCTAAAAACCTGGCCACACAAGTCAACGCCGGAGCAGAAAAAAAGAATTCTTTAACACACAGTGAGAAGTTGGTTACTAACCCAGTACCAAATAGTGCTGATGACAAACCAGGTGTTTGTTGAGTAAGATTAGTAATCTATTTTTTGATATCAAACATTTTGGTTTGCAATAAAATATACGCATTTGTTTTTTAAATCAGTGTAAAATGTTTGCATATCCATTAAATGTATGTGTTTATGTATTAGTCACTTCCCATATTTAGTATTAACAAGACTAAGGGACATAATTTAAAGATGTAGTAAAAAAGTTATTGACATATAATTAGACGTAATGTTCGCAACAATCTTTAAAATCTAAATAACAGTTTTACAAAAATATTCAGGTCAATACACATTTATTTTCTAAAATTTACATTTCATATTTTTGACTATTTTAATGTGATTAAAATTTAATAGGAGACTAATAGATTTATTATGTAAGGTATTTAAAGATATTTGAAGCATTCGTTAAACCAGTATTGGGTGCCTTAGCCACTGTTTTTGATATTATAAAATTGTGTTAGATCTATAAGACGTAAGCAGCTGTCGAAACAGAACTAAAAGATCAAAAGCCATGGATCAGGTTATGCAGTTTGTTGAGCCAGCAAAGACATTTGCCAAAGACTCAATCAGACTAGTAAAGAAATGCACTAAGCCAGATAGAAAAGAGTTTCAAAAAATAGCAATGGCCACAGCCATTGGTTTTGCTATCATGGGATTTATTGGATTTTTTTGTCAAGCTGATCCACATCCCCATCAATAACATCATTGTGGGCTCCTAAATAATTCAAGCTGGTTCGAATGTTCATGGCTGTTAGGGTTGAATGTTTTCATCTATTTTTTTCATAAATTATTTCTTCCATTCATCATCATTTTAGAACTGCACATTAAAAGTTTTCAAACTAAAAAAAAAAA